AATGGTGTCATCTGCATATCTCAGGTTATTGATATTTCTCTCAGCAATTTTGATTCCAGCTGGTGCTTCATCCAGTCTGGCATTTCGCATGATGTACTCTGCATATAAGTTAAATAAGCAGGGTGATAACATACAGCCTCACGTACTCCTTTCCCAATTTGGAACCAATCCGTTGTTCCATGTCTGGTTTAACTGTTGCTTCTTGACCTGCATACAGATTTCTCAGCAGTCAGGTCAGGTTGTCTGGTATTCCCATCTCTTGAAAAGTTTTCCACAGTTTGTTGTGATCCACACAGTCAAAGGCTTTGGCGTAATCAATAAAGCAGTATATGTTTTTCTGGAATTCTCTTGCTTTTTCAATGATCCAATGGATGTTGGCAATTTGATCTCTGGTTCCTCTGGCTTTTCTAAATCCAGCCTGAACATCTGGAAGTTCATGGTTCACGTACTGTTGAAGTCTGGCCTGGAGAATTTTGAGCATTACTTTGCCAGCGTGTGAGATGAGTGCAGTTGTACAGTAGTTTGAACATTCTTTGGCATTGCCTTTCTTTGGGATTAGAATGAAAGCTGAACTTATCCAGTCTTGTGGCCACTGCTGAGTTTTCCAAATGTGATGGCATATTGAGTGCAGCACTTTCACAGCAGCATCTTTTAGGATTTGAAACAGCTCCACTGGGATTCCATCACCTCCACTAGCTTTGTTTGTAGCTTCCTAAGGCCCACTTGACTTCGCATTCCAGAATGTCTGGCTCTAGGTGAGTAACCACACCATCATGATCATCTGGGTCATGAAGATATCTTTTTTGTATAGTTCTTATGTGTATTCTTGCCACCTCTTCTTAATATCTTCTGCTTCTGTTAGGTCCATACCATTTCTGTCCTTTATTGTGCTCATCTTTTTTTAATATCACTCAGGGTGATATATATTTTTTAAAATATCACTCAGGGTGATATTCAAAACGTTTAAGAAATAGTACAGGGTGGTGGGCCCAGGAAGGCTCCTGCAAGCACTGGCCCTGGTGCTGAAACAGGATGTGCTGAATATCCTTACTGAGCCAGATTCTACTCTGAAGGAGAAGCCAGAGTGGGTATTGTGTGTGTATTGGGGCACATCATCTCAACAATATGGACATATTTCAGTATTTTAACAACCAGTATAGCCGCACATGGGCATGCCAGCTGAACATCAGCCTAGTTCTCTCTGGAAGGACTTGTGAGATGTGATGTGGTTTAATAATGAGCACATTGGTTTGCAGTGGGAGACCAGGTTTGAGTCATATCTGGGTCTCTTGTTAGTTATATGACCTTTAACAAGACATGAACACTTCTCTTGTCTCCAAATGAAGGAGTTTCACCATGTTGAATCTAATGCTTCTTCTTGCTCTAAAATTTGAGGAAACAAAGCAATAAAAGTGGCCAAAGGAGTGGGTTCCAAACCTGAACTGTTTCTATTGCATTTTGTGTTTATGTCACAATGATGCCTCTTCCCCATGTAACTTTCTCGTTCAAGATTAGCCAAAGAAATGGATTTGGGGGAAGGATCTGAAAAAACAGACATTTAATTTTTGACTTGTGAAGCATGGGGAACATTGTAGAATTATGGAACATGTTGGGTGAAAGAGACATAGATTCAGATCCTGATTTGGCCACAGCTGTGTTCATTTCTTCATTCATCCATCCACTCCCTAAATGTTTTTTGAGCCTCTATCATGTTTTGGCCACTGTTCTGGCTCTGAGGATGGATTAAAGAATGAAGTAAAGTCCTTGCTGTCTTGGAGCTTACATTCTATGTAAGCAATTAATTTAACCTCTTTGAGCCCATGTTTTGAACTCGAGTTTTCCTACCTGTAAATCCTTCAATAGGCAATGGCATTGTTACTGCTATTTCCCGTTTAATGCCTATGACAATCATCACAAATCAGTTAAAGCACTCCAAGCAGCCAGTCAGTTACTGGAGGATGTTATTTATCCTGGGCTAATATTTTATGTTGATGCATTTTATGTAGATGAATTCTCAAGTCTTTCCCTACTCACTCTTTGTGACCCCGTGGGCTATAGCCCACCAGGCTCCTCTGTCCATGGAATTTTACAGGCAAGAATACTGGGGTGGGTAGCCATGCTTTTCTCCAGGGGAATCTTCCCAACCCAGGGATCAAACCTGGGTCTCCTGCATTGCAGGCATGTTCTTTACTGACTGAGCCACCAAGGAAGCCCAATTTTTCGTTCTTATTCATTATTTCTAATGAAATGGGAAGACAATATTGTACTGAGGGAAACTAATAGAACTCCAAATCATAGAACTATTATTAAAGCTACAGATTTTACAAGAAAACCATCATCACTTTGGTTTTGTTGGACAGAAAAGATATGTGTTATTGTAAAATTATTTTAGATCTTTGGGTCTTAGATTTTCCCTCCACAGTCTTTTGCTGCAAGTTCTCCTATTCAACTAGCTTTACTTTGATCCCTGGATAAAGGAAAGGCTCATCAACATTCACTTTTGACTCCTTTCACTTTGGAAACCTCCTTTATGAAACCTCCTCTTACTGTAGTCAGGTGGGGCAGAATCAAATCCTGCTCATTCTGATAAATTTTTCTACTATATACTAGATAACTCAGCAGCGATCACCAGCAGAAGGCTTCCCAGGGGGCTAACGTGGCCAACTGGTCTCATGTTTTGCTCACCACAGTGGAAGCCAGCCAAGTTTGGGCTGATATCAACCTCTTGGTCAGTTTTTTCCCCTGGATTCTGAAGACACTCTTGTAGTATTTCCATTTCTAATCCTCTTTCCCGGCTCCCATAACTGACCAGCATGTCCAACGTGCCCACATCGAGCTCTAATTGCAAAGAAAAAAGTTTGAAGTATTTCTGTTGGAATTAATAACTCCACCCTTTGGGGTTTCTAAATGTATCTCTGAGACTATGAAAACATTGCTCTTATGATTTCCAAGTTATAATGAACTAGAGGTACCTCTTTATATAGTGAAGCATTTTTCCCCAATGAGGAATGAGAGCTGGGGAGTCCTCTATCCCAGGCTGAGGCTCCTATAATTTTTGCCAATACTGTCATTTGGTAACTTGCCCAGAGTCAACTCTTCCCTCTCTAAGAAGACCAGGAAAACAGATTATTGCCTCCATTTAAATAGACCTTTAGATCAAGGAGCATTTTAAGAAAGAGAAATGATGATCTTTATTTCTAGGTTGAACTCAGTGAATTAATTTTTCTTTGAAGTGGAGTGGAGTATGGGAAGTAAAAAATCCATACTAACCTTGTAGACCTTAAATACAGATGAAATAACTCAGTTTTCCCTGTAAGATTTGTTACAGATACTCCTCTTTTCTAGAGCCACAGAACTCTCCCACATGTGCAAAGTAAAGTGGAAGACTCTCTAGTTTTTTTGTTTTTTGATTCTTTTTTAAAAATTAGTTATTTTTAATTGAAGGTTAATTGCTTTACAGTACTGTGTTGTTTTCTACCAAACATCAGTATGAAACATCCATAGGTTTACTCATGTCCCCTCCCACTTGAACATCCTTCCCACCTCTCTCTCCATCCCACCCCTCTAGGTCATTTCCAAAGACTCTAGTTTTAAAGGGTATGGTGTTTTGCCATAACAAAAGAAACCATTCATTATACACAATTCCACTCGTTACACAACAATTTCAATATTTAATAGAAGATTATTTAACTTAATTTCAATATGCAGTCATTAAAAGAAAAGAAATAGAAGCAGTAGAGAGAAGTAGTAGCATATATATCACCAAATTGGGCCGAAACCTACATCCGGACTTGAACCGTGCTGGGAAGTCCTGAATGACAGCAGTCTGCAGCCCTAGTTGGGAAAAGGGTCCTGGGCCGTGTGTTCACTCCGCAGGTAGGGGTTCAAATTGCAGTTTTTGCAGTTCTCACTTACAACCTTGGGCTGCAAACTGATATCATCATCGGTTTGCATGCAAAAATGCAGCTCTGGTTTTTCTTTAACTTTTACAATGCCCTTTGTTTCACCTTGTGAGTCAGAAGGCTTCTTAGACCCCAAGTGAAAAAGTGAAAGTTGCTCAGTCTTGTTGGACTCTTTGCAACCCCATAGACTACACAGTCCATGGAATTCTCCAGGCCAGAATACTGGAGTGGGCAGCCATTCCCTTCTCCAAGGGATCTTCCCAACCCACGGATCGAACCCAGGTCTCCCGCATTGTGGGCAAATTCTTTACCAGTTGAGCCACAGGAGAAGCCCTAGGGGGCTCAAGAAATTCCAGGACCCACTCCCTTTCTTATCTAAAGTGCAACTTTATATATATATATATATATATATATATTTAACAGCAGCATTGACCATAGTAAATGCTACTTAAGTGTTAACTGTTAGTATTATTGGAAAAGAGGCTGATGCTGGGAGGGATTGGGGGCAGGGGGAGAAGGGGACGACAGAGGATAAGATGGCTGGATGGCATCACCGACTAGATGGGCATGAGTTTGAGTAAACTCTGGGAGTGGTGATGGACAGGGGGGCCTGGCGTGCTGTGATTCATGGGGTCGCAAAGAGTCAGACATGACTGAGCGACTGAACTGAACTGAACTGAACTGTTAGTATTATTACACAAATTCAAAATGCTTTTCGTAGCATAGACAGGCAGGATGTAAGGTGGTTAAGCACATAGAATCTAAGCTGGAAACTTGAAATTTCATCCTACTACTTATTAGCTCTGTTACCTTAGGCAAGTTATTTTCTCTCTCTATACTGCAGGCTTCTCCTCTGTAGAGTGGGACTAATGAAGGCTCCCCTTTGTAGGGTTGTATGGACATGAATTGAGATAGTTCTGCAGAGTGCTTCTTGGGTGCCTGGCATATATTTAGTGTGCCGTAAATGTTTGCTGATATTTTCAGACGATTCACTTAAATGTTTGATGGGAGCTAGGTGTTAGGTTCCAGAAAGAATGTGATGTCGAAAGCCGTGTTTTTCTGGAAATAATTAAAAGGCAGCTGTCTTGCTGTTTACAGATGTGGTTACCCTCCTGGGATTTCTCTATGCCTCCAGTGGAGAAAACACAGGCATTGTGAAGAAGTTCCTGAGATTTCAGAATCGAGAGCTGGAGGCCACTCGACGCCAGCGGATAGATTACCCAGTGTAAGAAGGGGCTGGTGATGGGGGGGGCCAGTGCGGCCATAGTGTTCTTTTTATCTGAGGACCAGGGCAGGCTGATCTGACTCACACACTTAGTCACTCAATCATGTCTGACTCTTTGTGACCCCAAGGATGGTAACCCACCAGGATCCTCTGTCCATGGGATTTTTCAGGCAAGAAATACTGGAGTGGGTTGCCATTTCCTTCTCTAGGGGATCTACCCGACCCAGGTATTGAACCTGCATCTCCTGTGTCTTCTGCATTGCAGGCAGATTTTTTACCCACTGAACCATCTGGGAAGTCTAGAGCAGGCTAGTGGACCCACTCAGGAGGACCTACCTCTGTATTTACGCTTTGAGGAAATGATGAGATCTACATAGCTTAGGCAGAATTGTGGACCCAGAAACTTCAATGCATTTGGAAATCATTCCCTCACTTAGCAATCCTCAGTTTGCCTTGGAATGACTGGTATGCCAGTCCTGGGAATGACCTAAATAAGGGAGTCAGGTGTTGGAGCCTGAGGCTTTGCAAGGTGTCAGGTCCAGCCAGCCACAGCCCTGCCAGATTGCAACCTTTGCTTTGCTTTTTCTGCCTTGAAAGATTGGATGAGCTGCTTGAAATCTCACAACTTCTGATCTCCTCCATTGATTTCAGCAAAACCCAGATATATATATTTTTTTTCTTCTGCTGAATTGAAGATGCTGAAAATGGTTCGTGGTTCACCTCAGACCGGATGGATTCAGCAGAGTGATTTAATTCTTCCCATGCTGCTGGCTGTAGAAAGATCTTGAGTCACTTTACTAAGCGTATGTTCTTGCTAAGCTTCCTTGTAATAACTTATCTTCATGAGCTTGCTCAGCTGGGTGGGTCAGGAGGGAGCTGTGTGGCACCATCTGTTTGTATATCTTATCACTGATTTGGAGGCCAGATTATAAAGCCCAGAATATTCTAATATTCTAAGGTCTTGTTGGGATGAATCCCCAAAGAACCTGGGGTCACTGCCACTGTAACCCAAACTGTGAATTGGTTTTTGGGAAAACGGAAAGCATTCTCTGTACTGGTTTTGACCTTGATTCATGTTTAACTCACAAAACACAATTGCTCTCAGCTCATCTTTAAACTGCTGGTCACTAACATAATGTGTGACATCAAGCAAGTGTTCAAACAGCAAATATTTGTTGAATGATTGGTGGATCACAAAGCTTGGCTAAAATATTTCCTCTTGAAGTTGACTACTGTTATTTTATCCTCACTTGGCAAATCACAGATGGACAGTGTATTTTTTTTCAACTAAAATAGCCTTTGTCCAGAAATGGAACAATTAGAGTAGTTGCTCCATATCGGTCAGCCAGAACTGTGATACCAAACAACCTCATGTGTGCATTAAAATAGTATCTCTGGGTCCTATTAGCATATGGCAATGCCATTTGCAGATTATGGCTTTAGGGCTTTTATCTTTGAAAGAAACGAAATTGCTCAAAAAGCCCTAATTATGTTTTTTTTTTTTACTCATTGAAATTAGAATAGCTTCTTATCAAATCACCTCTTATTAAAACCCAGATTTTCAGTCTGTGTCTGGCTTTATAAGCCTTAATCAGGTATTCAAATGGCAGGTCCGTGTGATTCTCAAAAAGGCATAGGAAGAGTTTTTGGTGCAAGGTACAGTGTCTGCTAGTTTTGTACAGTGACGCTTAACTCCTGTCTTTTGCAGTTACTATAACTACCTCCTTTGTTTCTAAAATCAAGCTTTGCAAGCGGATCTCCCAAGATGAGCACGAAGGCAAATTCATCCCTTCAATGGAAAAAAAGCAATTTACTTGGTCATTGTTAACTATAATTACCTGTTCTTGGATGATATCAATCTGCAGAATTTTTTTTTCTCCTCACTCTTGCAGGTTTACTGTTTCATTGTGGCTTTATTTACTCCATTATTGCAAGGCTAATCTCTGTGGGATTCTGTACTTTGTTGATTCTAATGAGATGTACGGCACACCTTCTATATTTCTTACTGAAGAGGGTAAGTATGAAATAGAATCTTTAGAAAGATAGTGTGGTTTTCTTATGCTCTGTCTTTTGGCCGATATGTCTTTCTAGAATAAGGAATGTTGTCATTGTGGCAATGCAGTAAGAATGATGGTTTCCAAATATGGACTTCAAGTTCAACTTTTTCTGGAAGCTTAAAACAAACATTTTCAATACAGACGAATGCACTTAGGTGTTTTTTGTTGTTTTGTTTCGTTTTGCTTTTATTTAAAGGAAGAAGGAATATGATCTAGTCATAGCTTTTTTGGAAAATCACTGAAAAGATATAGCCACTTTCTTCACTTCTAAGTATTCTTTGTCATTTTCACAAACTTTTGTTTTCTCTTTAGGCTACTTGCATATTCAAATGCATCTTGTCAAAGGAGAAGATCTTGCCGTAAAAACGAAATTCACCATACCTTTGAAGGAGTGGTTTCGCCTGGATATCTCTTTTAATGGCGGCCAGGTACCAAGAGCATGTTCCATCATGAATCATATCAGCACCGTCACTTAACTTAAGCATCGCTGTAAAGTCAGGGAGCTAGGAAATCTGCAAAAACAAATTTGTGGTAACTGATAAACTTTTACAGCCATAACACTTTTTTTAAATAAAAATTTTATAGTTGGAAGCTTAAATCATAAGCATTCTATCCCATTTAACTAACTTTTAAAGTGCTTTTTTTGACTATATTGTGAATGAGTAAATAATACATCTAGCTATAAAACCACAATTGTGTAAGCAATTCAAGCCTTTTTTCCTAGCAAGATAGGCTTTGAGGAGATAAATGGTAAAACAGCCTTGGCCATATTTATATAGTGTTATCAAATCTACAACTTTTTTATAGGAAATATATTGGTTAGCTCAGCCAAGAAATGGTTTGACTGTTTTTGGCAGTGAAAACAATTGCTTGTGTTTGACATTAAACAAATAATAACCAACAAACCTGAGTGATAATTCTTGTGAGGCAGACGTTCTTTATCTACTTTGTACTACAAAACACTGCACATAACAGTTTCAAACACTTATAACAGATTTTATGGATTATGGCAAACCTCTTGTTATTATTGAAGATAATTCCATTCCTTTATATTGTTATATATGATATTGGTGTACTGCCTTTTTTCTGGTCACCTTCTTATCAGCTTTTCTTACTGATTTGTGATTTTCTGATAACGACACTGGAAAAGATGTTTTGTTTGTCTTCTGTGTTAGAGCATACACAGACCTCCCTTGGTGGTTAGGTTTATCACATTTCCTTTTTCTGAAGAGAAGAGAAATTGGGTCAGTCCTTGTAGCTTAACTGAGGAGAGTCTGGGAGATCCTAGCTGGCATTTTTTGTATGTTTGCTTCCTTAATGTTGTTAGGTGACATTGCTGCGGCCCGAGTTTTAGCGTCTCATTTGCACGGAGATTATGATGGCGTTATAGCTTGGTTGCCCCTTTCTCTTAAGGTCAGCTCAGTACCTTATAGCACTTAGGTATCAAATCATCAGAGCAAATCACAGACCTTATTTTATACCTGCTGTATGCCAGGCACTATGATCAAGGAGCTTAGAGACTATGCAAGTCACATAGAGCAGGTAAAGGGGTGTCATAAGGTGAGCCTAATTGCCAAATGATTCATAGTCATTTGAGGAAGAGAGACATCCAACTTCATGCTGGGATGCTCAGGGAAGGTTTCCTAAAGAAGGTTCCTACGGATGGGGGACAGTTTAAATGGAGAAACAAAGAGAGGGTATTTTAGCCCGTCATTGAATGCTCACTTCCAATTTCTTCTTGCCATGCAGCATGGCGTCATTGAAGTTTTTTAAACAGAGGAGTAAATCAAAGTAATCCTTTAACTAATGGCAGAGTATATGACTGGGTAAAGCAGGAGAGAAGAGTTAGGAAAACCAGATGGAGTAGAAAGAAAAAAAAAAGCTAGATTTTTTTTTTTAGTAGACATTCACCATTTGCCCTTTTTTCTTTGCATCCCATCTGCTCTCCCTGATACCCATAGGTTCCAAAATGATACTTAATTGTTTTTCTACAGAAAATCCAGCTCTATGGTAAGACCATTATATTCATCGCTTTGACTAAATGGACACTTTGGCCTAAAGTAAATGGTTGGTTTAGAAAAACAATTGGTCTGAGTCATTTTTTCCCTCTGAAACAACGTGGTGTCTATGGCTGAATTGGACTGCTTTGTCTGGCTTAGCTTTTCTTTCGGAGACATGGTGTTGGAGCTACATGTTTGAGAATCTAGCTAAGCCAGAATGTGTTTTCCGAACACTTGCTCGCTGGTAGCACTGGGGAGTCAAAGAGCCGCCTAAACTTAAGGGCTTATGTTGTAGTCCAGACACGAGAAGAATGCATGACAGCTAACAACATTCATGATGAAAACATTGTCATCACTGACGTGATGGTGACGATTCTTAGTGCTGAGGGAGAGCAAGTGGGAAGCTGTAGTGTATGATGGATGTTCATTCCCAGACTTGTTTTCCCCGCTAAGGCTCTCCTGGAATCACAAGTCCAGGTCAAGGACTCCTCGTAGTCTCTTACACCTTTCTTTGTCTTTCTATGCAACAGGCTTTCAAACACGAATTCACCAAAAGAGTCTTTTGACCCAAAGTTTGGAAGTGTCTGCAACCCCCTGGGGGAAACTGCGTTAGAGATATTTTTATCATCTCAAGTCATTTTTTAAGTCTCAAAATATACATAGGGTTAGTAAACTGCTATTTTGTTTTTTTTGCAGAAACTGATCAAACAAAAGACCATGAAGCATATTTTATAAGTAACTCATCCCCAGGACTGTATGTATGGTGTGGGGTCTGGAGGCATTACTAATCCTTATGTATTTCTCCCAACATAGATAGTAGTAACCACCAGCAGTGGGCAGGATTTGAAAGACTACCATAATCAGACAATTAGGTAAGTGTTGCTTTTTATTTGTGTCAAAATTTTCTGGATGAGGGTGAAGGAACCTTCCTGTGTTAGCCCAGCACCCTAATGTTATTCCTACCCCATCTGATTCAGCTTTTCCAAGCATGGATTGTAACTAGTCTGCCTTGAAGTTAATCTTTGTACTTTTTTTTTTTTCTTTTTTACATGCCCACAAACTCTCCTTGTTTTCCCCACAACCTTCTTTCTTTCTTTTTCCCTAGCAAGAGAAACTGGTTCTGTCTCCAGATCTCATTGTAAATTGTTCCTTTCATAGCTCTGCATAATTCGTGTTCTTTGAAAATTATCATTCACAAAGGATTCTAGAAAGCAAATCAAAGTATTAATGTTGCTCATTGGGAGGGGTTGATAACTTTGACTTAGTGTAAAACATAAAAGCAGACAGCCTTCGTATTTATGTTTATAATCTAAATTTGAAATGTATGTAACTATTGGTATTGGGCTAACTTTTCATCTTTACATAATCATTCGCTACAAGAGTTACAGAAACTGAGAATTGGGTCTTTTTCCTTGTATGTCATAATTTTAACTTGCTTCTGCATCCCGGATTCAGAGTGGGTTTTATAGTGGTAGAGCCATGGGGCATGTGTTCTTTGGGACTCAGGATACCTCATCATGGCGCCGTGAAAGGAAGCATTTACAATGAGATCTGGAGACAAATAGTTTGTTCAGTTGCTCAGTCATGTCCAACTCTTTTGCGACCCCATGGACTGTAGCCCACCAGGCTCCTTTGTCCATGGGATTTTTCAGGCAAGAATACTGGAATGGGTTGCCATGCCCTCCTTCATGGGATCTTCCCGATCCAGAGATTGAACCTACGTCTCCTGCATTGGCAGGCGGATTCTTTACCACTGAGCCTCCTGGGAAGCCCCTGTATATGTGTGTGTGTGTGTGTGTGTGTGTGTGTGTGTGTGTGTGTGTAAAACAGAAACAAAAATTAGCAGCTTTGTATTTTGTATGTATAATTTTAAAAAGCTTACCAGAGGAATTCCCTGGCACTCCAGTGGTTAGGACTCTGGACTTCCTCTGCACCAGGCACAGAATCAGTCCCTCATCTGGGAGTTAAAATCCCGCATGCTGTGTTGTATGCCCAAAAGAAAAAAAAAGAAAATCAGGACTGTTGGGCACTTTGGCTGAGGGGTGGCAAAGTGGTTCATTCCTTCATCCTTTAGTCATTTCACAACACCAAGCATAAAACTGTCTCTCCAAACAAGCTCTGTTCACTCAGAGTCCCTGAGCAGTCCAAATTTTCTTGGAAACCAATTATTAAAGAAAGGAAAGCAAAGAGGGCTGATGACAGCAGAATAGGGATCATACACTCTACTTTCCTCCCCCACCATTTCGCTTTACATTTAAATCAAACAATTATTTCAGGCCCTGGGCACATAGAACAATTCTTATGTCCATGACCAGATGAATGGATTAGAGTTACACACAGAGGCTAAAGCAGTGGTATTCCTTAGCTTACAAAGAGAAAGTCAGGGGTGACTGGATGGCAATACTGAAGCACAGAGGCCAAGATCTTAGGACAGAGCAGAAGTCCCAAGGGCACCAGGTGGATTTAGACCAGTCAGGAAGATTTCCATAGATAGGAGTTTTGTTACATAATGGCGACCACAGGCTCTTCTATGAAGACTTTGAGAATAGGAAAGTCAGGGAGTTTACTCTGGAGAAACAGATGATGTGTGGCCCCTTTGGAAATCTCTTCAAGCGCCCTGTTCTGCCCCAGAAATGTTTTTTAAAACTTATTTACTTATTTATGTTTTTCGGCTGTGCCGGGTCCCCGTTGCTGCGTGGACTTTCTCTAGTTATGGCGAGTGGGGGCTATTCTCTAATTGCAGCGCTCGGGCGTCTCATCTCCGTGGCCACTCTTGTTGGGGACACAGGCTCTAGGATGCACGGGCTAAAAAACTGTGGTGCACAGTTGCCTGTGGCATGTGGAATCTTCCTGGACCTGAGAGCAAACCTGTGTCCTTTGCGTTGGCAGTTGGATTCTTAACCACTGGATCACCAGGGAAGTCCTGACCCAGAAATTAAGAGTTTGCATTTCAGGATGTAGAGTCTAAAATAATACCTGCACTTTCTCCCCTGACACCCATTTCCAACCTCAGACACTTTTGACAACCAATTGAATTTCATAAGCTTTTTTTTTTTTCATTTTCTATGTCAAGGCTTCCTTTCTTCTGAAATCCCCAAAATGTAGCTGCTGACATGAGTGGATGAATCACAGTAAGATCCAGAGCTAGGACTGGGGTAAGGCGAGGAGGGCACGTTCCACATAAAACTTAAGGAGGCCCCCCCCAAACTTAGTGATTGTATTTTGCCAAGGCTGCCAGAACACAGTACCACAAACTGAATGACTTGTGCTAAGTCACTTCAGTCATGTCCGACTCTTTGCAACCCCTGGACTGTAGCCTGCCAGGCTCCTCTGTCCATGGGATTCTCCAGGCAAGAACACTGGAGTGGGTTGGCATGCCCTCCTCCAGGGGATCTTCCCACCCCAGGGATGGAACCTGTATCTCTTACGTCTCCTGCAATGGCAGGAGGGCTCTTTACCTCTAGCATCACCTCTTTAAGCAAGAGAAATTTATTGCCTTTCAGTTCTAGAGGTTGGAGGACCAAGATCTAGGTGTTGGCAGAGCCACACTCTCTCTGCAGGCTCTAGGGAAAGAGCTGTTCTAAGCTTCTCTCCAGCTTCTAATAGTTCCTTGGCTTGTGGCAGCATAACTCCAATCCTCACATGACATTTTCCCTGTGTGTCTGTCTTTGTCCAAATTTCCACTTTTTCTAAGGTTTACCAATCGTACCGGATTAAAGTCCACCCTATTCTAGCACGATCTCATCTTAGCTAAATATATCTGCAATGATCATATATCCAAATAAGGTCCTATCCATACTGGGGGTTCAGATTCAACATATGCATTTTACAGGGGGCACAATTCAACTCATAACAATCTTCATAATAAAATTTAACACAGAGTTTTAAAAATCAGGATTAATGTAAAGAATCCTTGATGCACAAAGTAACACATTTTTCTTTAGTATTTATTTGGCTGTGCTGGGTCTTAGTTGTGGCACGTGGGATCTTTTTAGTTGCTACATGTGAGATCTAGTTCCCTGACCAGGGATTGAACCCAGGCCCTCCACGGTGGGAATACAGAGTCTTAGCCACTGGACCACCAGGAATATTCACAAAATAACAAAATTTTAAGTAAAGACAGAACCAGTATGATCACATAGGATTCCAGAGTTCAAGACTGATGTTCAGGTACATACCAACTCAACATCCCAGTGAAAGCTTTGAAATGGTTCCTTACTTGGGCATACTGGCAGGATCCAGGCCCAAGACTGCCCCTCACCACCATCTCAGCTGATCATCCTATACTCCTGGGGTACCCCCACTACCACCACCATCAATAGAACAGCTAAAGAGTTAATCTTGGGTCCACCTGGGATTCTTGTGGTTAGATATTTTTGAAATATCATTTACCAGAGAGATTTCAGAATGGGCCAAGTCAGTACACTTTACACATCAAATATTTCAGGTGTTTATAGGTGTTCCAATGAAAGTCTCTTAGTCCTCCTTTTATTTGTTCTCATAATGTAAACACAATGATAGCTGTTATCCTACAAAAGTGGTGTAGGAAGACCGGTAATTAAGTGCTGAGAAGTGCAGTCCTGCCCTGCATGAAAAGCTGCAGTGACAATTGCAGAACTGTCTGCTGTTGAATTCATTCATCCATCCATTTTTCCATCCAGTATATATTCATTCATCCAACATATTCACCACATGCCTGACACAGTGCTGGATTCTGGGAATAAAACAATGAACAAGAATACAATCCGTCCCTGCCTTTGTGGAGCTAAAAATTCTAGCGCAGGGAAGACAGATTTTAAACAATTATATTCGAAGTGACACTTAAGATGAGAATTACTTTAAGGGGTAAGAGGCTCATTTGAGGCTCTAAGTTCCCCTGCTATGGAACCCTCAAGCCAAAGCTGTTCCCTAATTTTGAGCGAAGCCTATTTAATGATGGAGGCAATCCTTTCCCACTGCCGGTTCCTTCACAGTAATAAACCAGGGCACTCTCCTATGTCCAGATAAGAGTAAAGATAGCTTGCCAGCGTGTCTGATGCTTGCGTGCAGAAAGGACAGGCTTGGGCTTTCGAACCATCTAGCTCAGCTTTTATGTCAGCAAAATTGATGACCATCAAACAATGCACAGTGCAAGGAATTTCTTACAATCTCGATGCAGCCACTGAGAATGTTACAGAAGAAAAATGTGGAGGGAGATGGAACTGAAAGGATCTATTAGTTGTATTATAATAATGACAAAAAATTACAAGCTGGTACCATAGGGATAAAGCAATTTATTGATTAATTGAGAATTCAGTTAAAGCAAAGATCCATAAAAATATTCCATAAGCATTTTATTTTAATTGAAGCAATGGATATATACATTCATTTGCCAGTCTTTCTAGTTACAGCTTTGCCTTTGAGTATGGATCTACTGATTGGAGTTTCTTGTGATCTTTCTGGCATAAATGGTACTCAATTTCTGTTTCTTCCAAATGAAAAGAAAACAAAGACACTTGTGAAACCATCGAAGCCCAAGATTCATCAAGATTTCTTCAGTTTCTTTTCTCAGCCTTTTCCAGCTGTCCTAATTCCATAAGAGCTTTTTTAGTAACCATTCTTTACTGAGTCTACCCAAAATATTCAACTTAATTTTTAAAGAATGAACATCTCTTTCTTCTCCACTTTCTTCTCCATGCTTTTGGGATTACATAAGATTTAATTACATTGTAGGGTTACAATGACCAAACAGGTTTGGGAACAAACACATCTAATTCTTGGTAAGCACGAAAAAAAGTGAAAGTGAGTGAGAGGTTTCCCTGTTGGCTTGGACGGTGAAGAATCTACTTGCTGTGCAGGAGACAAGGGTTTGGTCCCTGGGTCAGGAACAAGGAGACAAGGGTTTGATCTGCTTGCAGTGCAGGAGACAAGGATTTGATCCCTGGAGGAGGAAATGGCAACCCACTCCGGTTTTCTTGGCTGGGAAACCCCATGGACAGAGGGGCCTGGTGGGCTACAGTTCATGGGGTCCCAGAGTCTGACATGACTGAGTGACTGTCCCTTTTTCACATCTTACTCTTGGTAAGCATACACCTCAACAAATGGCAGCAAAAGTACGAGAGTGGACTAAGTTAATAATAATAACTGTAGTTAACAGTTATGGTGCCTACTATGTGCCAGGCATCGTTATAAATGCTTTGTTTAAATGCTAGTTTCTCCCAGTGACCTTGTGCGTGCATGCATGCCAAATCACTTCAGTTGTGTCTGACTCTGTGCAACCCTATGGGCCATAGCCCACCAGGCTCCTGTGTCCATGGGGATTCTCCAGGTAAGAATACTGGTGTGGGTTGCCATGCCTTCCTCCAGGGAATCTTCCTGACCCAACATTGAACCCACATCTCTTATGTCTCCTGCATTGGCACATTCTTTACCACTAGTGCCACCTGTAGATAGGTACTAATATTGTCTTCATTTAAAAATGAGAATATGAGGGTTCCAGAGAGTAACCTCAGCTGGCTAGTATCCATTATGTTGCAGGGATGGGCCATGAGGTGAGCCATGAGTTGGTTAAGCAGAGTTCTGTCATGAAAGCTTCTACTTCAGAAGTGTTGCTTCGTGTCCATCAAGTGCTGGTATTACCTCCTCATGAGGGTAGTTGGGATGTTCAAATCTTTAAAGGGTCTTAAGAAGCAGAATCAGTTCACCACTCACAATAACTTTGTGGTCCTGCATTTAAAAAAGAAGAAGAAGAGACCATCATCTTCTCAGGACCCTTCAATCCTAAGATTCTGGAAAAAGAAATAGCAGGCAATAGAGCATTTCTTTTCCACATTAGTTGCCTTTGCAGAAAGCTGATTTCTAAGTGTTCCCTCTGGCCGCCATAGGGTGATGCTGTCAGCGCCAATTTCTTCACCTTTGTGTCTTCCTTCCAGCCAGGAGTACCTGCTCAGGGTCGGGTTTCTGGCTGACAGTCACCCGTCCTCTCTCCTGGGATGACCCCGGGTGGCCTTGCTTCTGTCCCAACCACTGGTGGCCACTCTGTCCCGTCTGCTTCACCCTGGCCCCTTGCTCCTGGCAGCCTGCCTGACGCGCTGTGTCCTTCCCTTCTGCTGCCATCTGCCCTCCCTGGCAGATGTCGTCTCTGCCGGGCTTCTCACCTGATGCCTGCCTTGACCCCCCCTTGCTGTTCACATATGCTCCTATAGCACCTTGTCCACCCACACCTATTTTACTTTCTCAGTTGGTAGTAAATGCGCATGGTAGAAAAACCAAAGCTGTAAGAAAAGGTCTACAGTTAGATGTTTTGCTTCTGTCTCTGCCCCCATCCACTCCATCCCCTAACCCTCATGCCAGGGGGAAATACTTTTTATTAGTTTCTTATATCTCTCTCTCCAGAGTTTTTGCAAATGCAGATACAAAACAATCCATTCTTCTCTTTCTTGGATAAAATGTATATGTATTGCTCTGCTCTTAACATTTTAATCTTTTTCACTTAACAGCGTATTTTAGATATTTCTCCAGAGCTTTTTGTTCTTTTTTAAACTATGTCATAGAAGAGCTCATGCCTAAGACCCATTGAATGTTGTGGGTACTAGTCCTTACTGACAGACACCTGGACTTTTCCAGTCTTTGGTGGATGTAAACAACGCTGCCAGGAACAGTTTTGTGCATTTTATTCATGTCAACCCATTTTCCTCCTCCATTTTCCTTCCCGATCCTTTGAGTCTTTCAAGACAAAGTAGACTTCCAACATGTCATCTGTGCTGACCTCTTATCTTTGGCCAAGTCCTTTGACCTTGCTATGGCTTCCTTCTCCTAACTCTGAATTTGACTTTGGATCTTATCTAATAGGGTGTGTCTTTATTTTTCCCACATTCACCTTCTGTCTACTCAACAAATTTTCTTTTTCTTTTAGAGTAAAATATTTCTATTTAAGATTAGCAATTGCACATAAATCCAGTGATTCTAAACAGTTTCACCAATATCAATAGTTGGCATGTATTGGATATTTATGGTGGGCAAGGCACTTTGCTACTAATAGATGCTGTATGTTTTCAGTAAAGAATTTGCCTGCAATTCAGGAGACCTGGATTTGATCCCTGGGTCAGGAAGATTCTCTGAAGAAGGGAATGACTACCTACTCCAGTATTCTTGCCTGGAGAATTCCCTGGACAGAGGAGTCTGGTGGGCTACAGTCCATGGGGTTGCAAAGAGTCAGAAATGACTAAGTGACTAACACTTTTTCTTTCACTTTCATTGAATATTTATGGTGGGCAAGGCACTTAGCTATTAATAGATGCTGTATGTTTTGTCTTTGCATCTACTTAATCCTTTTACCAACCCAGTAAGAGAAGAATTATCATCTTTACTAACAAGAAGCCTAAATCTCAGAGAGGTTAAGCAACTGATCCAAGGTCACACAGCTGGTAAATAGCAGAGGTAGGATCTTAGCTCAAGCCTGCCTGACCCCACCATCATCTCATCTTCTTGAATTCAGAGTAAAGGGTTTGTGGAAATTTGGGGTTTTAAGTCAAGGAGGGTCAATCAAAGAGTCTTTAAAAAAATTTGTTCAAACCCAGAGCTCTCTTAATCCTTTGTACTTTTCTAGTTTCCGTGAGGATTTCCATTATAATGACACCTCTGGGTACTTCATTATTGGAGGGAGCAGGTACGTGGCTGGCATTGAAGGGTTTTTTGGACCGCTGAAGTACTATCGCCTCCACGCTCTGCACCCTGCACAGGTGAGCCTGGGGGACCAAGGCGTATTCGGGTGCTTGTGGGTGATGGGCGGGTGGCTCAGGATCATGGAACTCAGTCCAGTGCAAACAAAAGATTTATCCATGCCGGGCCTCGCGTCGGCTCTGTCACCAAACATAATTAATATTGAGGCTTTTCCACCCTGCAAACGCAATAATAGATTTTTGTTAACGTTTGGTTCATTTAGTACTCATAAAATGGAAACCATTTACTTCCTCTGTTTTAATAACTAGTAGCTTAATTATAGAGTCGATTTTTATCAGGCTGTTGCCTATCCAGTGATTAAGCTAATGAAAGGAGAGAAGCTTAGTTATTTGGTAAAACTTCTTTTATATGCTAATATTTAAAGTATCAGAAGAGGAGACACTCTAGCAAATTAGACTTTTGGTTCTGCATACTGCTTTCTCCAGAAACAGGCCTTTAGCTGGTACTGGGTGGGGTGAACTGCGGTGGCAGAGATCATAGAGGGCCCTGTAGTCAGAACTGAATTCTCAAGTCCAAAACCCACCCACAAATAGAATGGGATTGTCCAAGTCTCCAGGCCAGCTCCAGCAGGGCTAGCAGCTAGAGGAGGGCTGTCCCACATGGGAACCTTCGCCCTGGTTGCTTTTTGTGCTTTGGCAAGGAGATCACTGGATAATACCTGAAAAAGGAATTTTTTTTTTTCATTCTCATGACCTTGTGGAGTTTGTTCTGGGAAAATCAGGAGTTACTAGGTAAAATCAGTTAGGAAAAATGGGGCACCTTATCGCCCATGGGTCATCTTAGAGCCCCTGCTGAGAAATCTCTAGAAGAGGAAAAAAAGTGAAATTCATTTGTTCATTTGTGCAACCAGTACTTATTAATCACCTACTATGTGCCAGGCTCTATGCAAGATGCTGAGGCATCCAAGATGAATTAAGTTGGTGAATTTCAAACTTTTTTTTGAAGGTGATCTATAATTTAAAAAAATCTGTTTTAAAAGCATAAGCAGTACATATTCATACATATACAGTACCTATATATATTATATATATATAATATATATATGCATGTACGTACATACACATAAATGTATAAACACAAAACTGAAAGAAGAATTTTACTAAGAACACAGACCCTTGTTATGTTCAGTGTATTCTGATATTTTGTGTTCTGCTTCATAAAAAACAAAATCACTGCTGGTTACAAACCACTGAAATAATGTCATGACCCTCCGATAATGGGTCACAACCTGCATTTTGCATTTTGAAAACCACTGAGTTGAGATAAGACCTCTGGTCTTGAGGAGCTCCCGGCCTGGGTCTTAAACAGTTAAGTCATGAAAGAATGGGGTCTATGCTTTCATTTAGACATGAACACAGTGGGAGTGCTGAGACAGGCTCATCTGCTTGGGTACTCGTGTGAAAGTGGGTGGGCTGCTAGGGAGGCAGCCCTGAAGTGATGACCTTGGATCTAACTCTTAGAAGTTGAGCAGGAGCCTTACAAGCTGAAGAAGAGGAGAGGAGGGCTGCCAGGGAATAGGTGCATCACGGTTAGACTTGGTGACCTTTGGGAACTCTGGGGAGATGAATGTGATCTCTGGGGACAGAATGCAGCAGTGGGGAAGAAGAGAGCCTGGAGATCTGGTCTCTGGGAAATCCTAACATTTAAGAAGCTCTGCAGACGAGAAGATGCTACAAAAAAGAAGCTAGAGGGAAGCGATCAGAGCTGGCATGCCCTTCAATTCCTGGTAGCACCCTTTAGAGAATCCAGAGAGGACGATCTGTGTACAAACAAGCCAACTTGGGGCTATCACTGGGAGAAGGAAATCCAGCATAGGTATCCATGGGCGTTTGATGACAGTTGTTCCTTACGTTTTCTTGCCCTCTTGTAGATTTTCAATCCCCTCCTTGAGAAGCAACTTTCTGAACAAATCAAGTTATATTACGAAAGGTGTGCAGAAGTTCAAGAAATAGTGTCTGTGTACACATCCACGGTGCAGCAGGGCGACAGGAGGCAAGAAGCATGTAAGTGTTGAACTTAAGGAGAGCAAGTTTTAGCTCTGGGCATTTGTATCAACATGTTTGGGTTCTTTCTGTGAGTGTGTTAGTCACTCAGTCATGTCTGACTTTTTTCGACCCTATGGATTGGGGCCTGCCAGGGATTCTCCAGGCAAGAATATTGGAGTGGGTTGCCATTCCCTTCTCCAGGGTATCTTCCTGACCCAGGGATCGAACCCAGGTCTCCCTCATCACAGGTGGATTCTTCACCGTCTGAGCCTGAGAAGGCTTCTTCCTCAGCAGGCTGAAATAGAACGCATGTGACTTGATCAGTGGGGACAAGTATGACCTCAGATAGATTGATGCAAATGAAAGTGTACCTTCTACCTAGATCCCAACAGGACCAACACTCAGCAGGAACCCAAGGCTGCCTCATAGCTTCAAGCAGCTGTAATTTAGTTTAAGAATATAAATGAGAGTGTTTTGAGCCTCAAATTGTATTATTCCCATCCATAATGCGATCTTAGGCCAGTCTAAGAAAATAAAAATGAATTGGAAAATAAATTAATCATTAGAAATGTTTCCCCATCGGTGCACTTTTGTCTTGGGCCATTAATATCTGAATATTAGCTTTCAGAAATGTTGAACAATGGCTTTGTTGTTAGGGGCTGGGTTTAATTTTTTTAAATCCTTGAAATTGACTCATTCTGGAAGACATTGGTAATTTTTCAACAGAAGGAATGAATTTCAAATAGAGTGATTTCATGCCTGCCCATATTTGCATGGACATCCTTTCATTCATATGGAGGGTGTACCTGTTATAAAACTCATCTCGTCTTCCAACGTTCCAGCTTGGACCTAGCACTTACAAATTTCTCTGGCTATAGATCTTCTTGCATAGTATGGTGGCACTAGAGTTAGTCACATATGTTCCTTCTGGAAGAGAAATTCCTGTGGGACCTTTGCCATCAGCAAAAGCAAATTGAGTATTTCAGTCCCGCCAAGATATCGCACCATCCCCACAGCTGAACTTCCCATTTCAGGCCATGGAGGGATAGATGCCTCTTGCACAATACCCCATTCTGATAGAGTTCACATAAAATGGTCCTGGGAAGTGATTAGAGATGATGATAGGTAAGTGTGGAAAGGCAGCACTTCTGCAATTTAATTTAAGAATAGGCTATACTAGTCCCCCAGCTGCCGCTTTCACCGCTGAATCATCCAGAAAATATGATGCTGTCAGAAGAGGGGGAAGATATATAGAATAGTAATATCCCAAACAGGAAAGAAACTGATTTTGATAGCTGATGTAATTTCAGGAGAGATACCCGGAGTCAGAAGGCCGAGTCTCGCATGCTGATCTGTGTGGCGGCATTGGGAGGACTTTTCTAACGTCTTCTGCTGCCTCGATTCCCTGGGGTCCCTGGGCTTTGCTCCTAGGCTCACACTGCCAACAAAATAGCCTAGATATTGGCCTCTTGGGGACCCGTCCGAGGCCAGCTGCTGATTCTGTAGAATTATTCAACAGCTATCAGCAACTTTGGCACATTTCCCTTGGACGAGGCTTTGAATTTGTGACCTCGAGGCAGAGGCATCGTAGCCAATTTAAAATCCCTGATGTATCCAAACCAACGTCCAGGAAGCTTAAGTCTGACGCCTTATTTCTGGTTCATCTTAGAGGAAGGGATTTAGGGAGGCAAGCCCTTCCCTCTAACAGTACCTGGGGCTTCCCTTTTCTGTAGGCAACCTCGGAAATTCCTACCTGGACCTAAAACGCAGATATGGGCGGCCCTCGACATGCAGAGCCTTCCCCTGGGAGAAAGAGCTGAGAGCCAAGCATCGAAGCTTGTTCCAGGCTTTGTTGGAGCTGAGTTTGGTGACAGGTAATTGAGTCCATGCCTTGTCTTTGGACATGGGTTAGAAAGGTCTGTTTTTCTGCTTTCCCTCACCTTCTTTAGTGATTTATGCCTTGAAGTTATTTTTAACACTAGTGTTCTAGCTTAATTTCAAATTTAAATTCTGCCCTTGTATGTCCACCACTCTCGATATACCTGTGCACACTTGTGACACTAACTAGAAAAACTTAAATTTAGGAATCACTTGAGCAAGTCTTTATGCAAAGCCAAGGCCAAAAGCAAACAGCCAACAGCCAGACCTGACCCCCAAATGTGGTTGCTCTGGCATACACATTGTTGTTAGTTTTTTAAAAAATTAGTGAGCAGTGTCTAAAAACATATAAAAATACAAATTTCTAGCTTTTGTCAAAATATCCAAAGATCTGGCGATGCTGCGCCTCAATTCCTGAGTGGCAGTGAGCTCAGAGGTGAGTGGTTGGCACAGACGGGTTTTGTCCATCTGCAGCCCCTCCTGCTCTAGGTGAGCACTTCCTGTCTGCCTCCGTCATGGATCTCACCCCTGACTTGAAGTATTTGCAAGCGGCATTTCAGGAGTCTGTGTATATTTCCCACATGTGGCCAGCTTAGGTCCATTGCCATTATGGTTTGCATAGTAATTAAGCACACACTGTTAGACTCTGAGGGATCTGGAAACAGTGTCTGTCGGGAAGAGGAGAGAAGCCGGAGGTGTGCAGCCTGGGGAAGGAAATGATAAGGAGGGTGATGAGAACTATTTTAGTGACTCCTGAGAGCCTGTGGTGTTCCTGGGCATCCGATCAGACCCTTGAGTCAAGGCAATGCAGAAACTGATTTCTGCTTCGTTTAAGAACTTTCTAAAAATGGGAGCGTCCAGTGGAATAGATTCTCTTTGCAGATAGTGACTCACCCTCACCCCATCTTGAAAGAATTCAAACCATAAAAGATATTTCATCTTTGGCTCATTTGATATCTGCTGAGTGGCTGCTCAGTTACTCGGCTAGACTGCAGAGTTAAATAAAATAATTCAGGGTTTCTGCCTGTGAGGGACAGACTTGAAAGCAAAGAAAAATCGTCATATATTTAAAAAAATAAAAGCTATGGGAGTAATTGACAACTGCACAAAGGGAGTGGTCAGTTCTACTTAGAAGTCTAGGGTATTCAGGGTAGGCTTCCTGGAGGAAGTGACACTGGGATTGATTTTCTCCTGATTTTATTTATTAATGTTTATTTTCGGCTGTGCTGGGTCTTCACTGCTGCACAAGCTTTGCTCTAGTGGTGGTGATTGGGGGCTGCTCTCTAGATGCAGTGCGCAGACTTCCCCTTAGCAGTGGCTTCTCCTTTTGCAGAGCATGGGCTCTGGAGCACACAGGCTTCACTAGGTGTGGTGCGTAGGCTAAGTTGCACCAAGGCTTGTGGAATCTTCCCAGATCAGGGATCAAACCCATGTCTCCTGCATTGTCAGGTGGATTCCTTACTACTGAGCCACCAGGGAAGCCCCTGGTTCCAATTTTAACTTAGTACTTACTAGCTGTGTGATCTTAGGCAAGCCACTTTATTTCTCTGAGACTTAAGTTTCCTCATCTGCAAAATGGGGATGACAAACAGGAGTCTGTCTCCCCTAGTGTTGGTTTCAATGAATTTATACTTAGAGTATTGGCACTTAGTAAACGCTATGTAAACAGCATTTCTCAATCTTGGCCCTGCTGACGTTCAGGACTGGATAATTCTTTGTTGTGAAGGGTCTGTCCTGTGCTTTGTAGGATGATTAGCTGCATTTCCGATCTCCACCCACTAGATACCAGCGGCTCTCTGTCTCCTCCCATGCCCCCGCCCCCAGTGTAACAACCAAAAATGTCTCTAGACGTTGCCACGTGTCCCCCAGGAGGCCAAGCTGCCCCCAGTTGAGAATCACTGCTGTTGTGTGCATGTTAATCTGTTATTACCCGGTCTTCATGGGTCTTCTGGGAGATGGTGGTGTTGCCCCCGAAGTTGGGCGAACAGAAGAAGGAGAAACATGTTGGAAGGTGTAGGCTAAACAGGCAAAGACAACATCCACCTGAAAACTAGTCTCATGAGATTTCGGATATGTTTAAATATAGTTTTGCTGATTGGGAGCAGGAATGAATCATTTTTCACAAAACATTCTTTTTAAAGCAAATACTCTCAATAAAGAATGTTTTTGTGTTATTTTTACAGCTCAGAAGTTTCGTTTAAAGAATGTGGAATGATTTTATTCTCCGTGGAGGCCTAGAAAGGGAGCTCATTAAAAACTCAAATCATGAGCCCCCGAACCTTGAGACTTGATGGGCTGTGGTGCTGGGGGGCTGTCACATGGCAGCAGAGAAACACACGCAGCTGCCCCATCCCTGGGGGGAGAGGGGGCGCAGAGCTGGGTTTGCTGCTTCGAGGCTCACTGCTGGTGCCCAGCCAGCCAGGTGAGTCCCGCTGGTGCCAAGTCTCCATACATCAGCAGCAATGAACTTACCCTGAGGGGCCTCCGCCTCCCCAGGCACGGGGCCACCTGCATCCCGCCTCTCCCTGCCACTTCCTGAGGCCCAGGAGCAGGTGGGACAGGGATGGGGGCAGACAGCGTAGGCAAGTCTCCAGAACCAACCTCAGACCCCCGTTCTGTCAGCCCCTGTGTGTCTAGTTTATGTTGTCCCATCTGTGGGAACTGGGAGCTTTCTGCAGAGGTAGGGCCTGCACTCCTCATTAAAATTCATCTCTGCCTGGCACATTGCCCTTACTTGGGGCAATCATAGTTAACCAGATATTCTGCCTGCCTAATCCTAGAGAGAGACTGGTGTCACACATTATGCCCAATTTCTAACAATCCTGAGACAATGAAGGAAATTTGATTTTGTAAGTTGAGGGTAAAAAAAAGATAATTAAAGATTACTTACACATCTTTACTCTGGCCCTATAGAAAGAAGAGTAGTCAGACTGGTGTGACTATGTTTCTCTTCCCACTTCCTCACATACCTTTTCTTCCAAGTTTATCCTGCGCTGGGTGTCTAGCTGGCTTTGGAGTGCTTTGGATAACTCTAGTCAATAGGAACTGTGTTTGCATCATGTTTTCTGCTGTCAGCCTGAGCTGTTTCATCCTGTTGACTAATAGACTTTTTTAGAATATCCTCATCAGATTACATTTCTCGTATCTGAGATAAGCTACAGAAACAGACTCAAGGATCAGATGTTGGCTGCTCAAAATTCTTGATGTAGGAATGGAGTAGGTGCAGTAGCACAGATAAAGGAATGCAACTGTGGGAATAACTTAAGTCACTTGTATCACAACCTTCCATTCATTCATTCCCTGGACAAGTACTGACCAAGTGGCCCCCATGAGCCAGGGTAGAACAAAGATGGGGCCATGTTTTGAGTGAGAGTGACTTATGTTAAATGCAAAGAAAAACATCAGCTCCCATAGTTCCCACAAATAGAATTAATTGGTGGAATTATTTTTTTCCTGGCATTAAAAAATACATATGACAGCAACAGACAATGGCTTGCAATTTCTCGTTCTTTGTGACAGACTCACCACTTTCTTGGCAGCATCGCCTCACACACACCGCCAACTGCACTGCCAGGCTGTTGTACGTGCACACTTCAGATGTGAGTGTATCCCCCCGCACTGGCATCATGTGGTTTTAGATGGATCATCGCTTCAAAGGAGCCATGGGAACAGTGCATGGGGTACAGAGCTGATTGTGCTTCCTCACAATCAGCTGGAGTGTCCTCTGCTTTCTGCCCGGGGAGCTCAGGCCTGGTCACCACCTCCTAGTTGTTCCCAAAAGATTGAGCTCTACTTTTCTACTACAGAAGAGAAAATCAAGTATTTACACTATCACTCTTTAAGGACTGTAATTTTAAAAATTTTTTGTGGTAAAATGCACATAATTTAAAATTCCGCCTCGTCACCCTTTATAAGTGTAAGGGCTTCCCTCGTAGCTAAGTTGGTAGAGAATCTGCCTGCAATGCAGGAGATCCAGGTTCGATCCCTGGGTTGGGAAGATCCCCTGGAGAAGGAAATGGCAACCCACTCCAGTATTCTTGCCTGGAGAATCCCTTGGACAGAGGAGCCTGGCAGGCTACAGTCCGGTAGGGTCACAAGAGTCGGACACGACTTAGTGACTAAACCGCCACCACCATCAGTAGTGTTAAGTACGTTCACATTGCTGCACAAAAGATTCTAGAACTTTCTCATCTTGCAAAACTGAAACTCTGTACTCATTTAGAGGGATTTCCCTGGTAGCTCAGACGGTAAAGAATCTGCCTGCAATGCAGGATACTCAGGTTTGATCCCTGGGTTAGGAAGATTCCCCTGGAGAAGGGAATGGCAACCCACTCCAGTGCTGTTGTCTGGAGAATTCCATGGACAAAGGACTGTCGGGCTACAGTCCATGGGTTCGCAAAGAGTCAGACGTGACTGAGCCTGACTACCACCACTAGTATCCTCCTTTAGACCACAATTCCCCACGCCGCCCCCTGGTGGCCACCATTCTACTTTCTTTGCCTATGCATTTGATCCTTTGAGAGACCACATATGAGTGGAATCATACAGTATTTGTCCTTGTGTGACTGGTTTATCTCACTTAACATAAAGTCCTCAAGGTTTGCCCATGCTGTAGCCTCTGTCAGAATATCCTTCCTGTTTAAGGCTGAATAATATTCTATTGCATGTCTAGATCACATTTTGTTTATTCATTCATCTGTGGATGGACACTTGAGTTGCCTCCCCCACCCCAGGTGTACTATTTTGAATAGTGCTGCTTTGAAAGTAATGTACAAGTATCTCTTGAGGACTTGGCTTTCAATTCTTTAGGCTGTATACTGAGAGGTGGGCTTGCTGGATCATATGATGATTTTACATTTAATCTCTTGAGGAACCATTATTCTGTTTTCCATATGGGCTGCACCATCTTACATTCCTGTCAACAGTGTATGAGGGTTCCAATTTCTCCACATTCTCACCAACACTTGTGATTCTCTGGGGTTTTGATGGTAGCCAT